CGACGGCGACGACGATGACAACATACACTACTACTATGACGCCGCGTGGGGGTTGCACGAAGACCCCCTGGTGGGGTTCTGGCCGCCGACCCTACAGTCCCCCGTTGGAAATGATATCAGTCGCGACTCGGTCGAGGGAGCCCTAGCACATCGTGTTACACCGTCAGTCGCGCCGTGCCCCTCGCAGAGTATAGCCTCATAAGTCTCATTCTCCCGTGATATATTCTGAATATTGCCCTTTCAGCAAGTGTACATTCGTTGTACTCGTCGCCGCCCGAAAATTTGTAACACCACCGCAAGTCTAATACACGAGGCCTATATCCGAAAAAAGAGGGAAGTTCCCGCAGTCATTTGCTCTAAGCAAAATCGGAGACTTTACATTGGAGATCACAGATACCCGGGGTGGCTGTCATACAACGTTTCTCGCACGATCAAGAGGAAATCGCTACGAGTGAGGAAAGTGGTAAGCTCTTCGCCTATTTCCTTCTCCCGTCTTTGTCGCTGGAGCGCGTTCCGGAGGCGCGACGTCGACGTCGAGGCGCAGATATTAATAGAGTTCGGAGAGAGAAGATATCGGCGCGGCGTGGTGTGGCGCGGCGAATGTGATTCCAACGTCTTTCGCGCCGTTTGATGATTTTGCGCTTGGACGCGCGAGACTCGCGCATTCTTGGGGTATGGCGATCACGTGCAAGCCTCGTCAACGCTTTTTTCGCAGTTGTTCGCCTCCTCATCCTTCTCCTCCTTAGGATCTGTGCGTATACGTAAGTCGCACGTGAGTGACGCTACCAGCGTGCTTTGTAGTCATACGTATGAGAGCCCAATGCATTTCTCTCGTAGTTTTCGCTAATTCATTTGTCACAACAGTCCTCTTAATCATTACCAGATTGGCTACCGTTACTGCGCGTTACATCAATATATGAGCTTAATAGAACAATTCATAACGTTCAAGGCCTCTTCATGACATTGTCGTCGTCGAAGCAGAGCGATGTTTTTTGACACGAATTTGCTGCGAGAATCGCCACACGATTAATTAGCAGAACTTATATACATCCAGGTAGAATACAGAGTCATGGATATTACAGAATGTCATTGTAACTTTATTTGTGAATTTATAAGTGAGACAAATAAGATCACGATAATATTATTATGACCTCTGTATTTTATCTACACGTAATTTTCTTATGTTTTGTTATTAGAATTTTTTTTACAGGCAACAATAAGCCATTACCCAAGCTTTAAGTCGTAAGAAATTGAGCATTGTTTTTTTTGTGATTTATCAATTACTAATTATGGCTTAAGATTTAAGTTTAGGTATTGAATCATCCAAAATATCAATTGTTCTTAATTTTCTTAGTCACCATTGAACGTTTCTAAGCTTACAATTAGATTTTTCACCTAAGTCACGCTGATTTCACGCATTCGCGAACTTCTGGTTGCATTGCCCACAATGAGAAAAGATAGGGGCAAATGGGTGCGTTTGGCCCATTCCTGCACAAGGAATGGGAGTCCTTTGGAAATGCGTGGGAGGGTCCACCAACAAAATTATGGATCGAGGCTACGCGAGGATTCACGTCTGCGCATGACTATTCGCCGTTGTTACCCTAGTCATACACACGTACATGCCAAACGCACGAGCCCTTTTCTGCTGAAGAACCTCTTCTTTCAGATCCCTTGTTCTCGGAGACATTACGAGGCACTGAGGTATGTGCTAGCGTAGGGCAAAATTTGGAGGTGCGCAAAATTTTAATAGGCAACGCTATTTTCGTAAATATAAAGCTATACTTTACTTGATATTTTAAATAAATTAGCTAAAAGTAGTTTTTTGGAAATCTTTTTAAATTTAGCAATAGCGTTACAGATCTTATTAACTGTGTCAATGTCCGTGGCAACTGCAGAAGCATCTTTTTTAAAATTAAAAATAATAAAGAATTATCTGAGAAATATAATAAAGCAGACGCGGTCATGCGATTTAGCTATGATATCAATTGAAAAAGAATTGGCGAACAGTTTTGATTACGTAATCAGTCTTGATTACGTAACAATTGAAGACATAATCAGAATGTTCTCGAAAACTAAAGCTAGAAAATATAATAGTATCAATAAAGGTTTATAATGCCAATGAGAGTTGGCATTACAACACTGTTGTATGTATGTAATTAAATATTATATATATGTCAATCACTGATTACAGACGTTTCGGCCATAAGATACGGTCTTCTTCAATGTGTCGATAACATTTGCAGAGTCAAATTAATTCGTTACAACAATGTAGGCGCATACAGTTAGTGAAACATCGTTAGGTTATTATTCAAATTTAAGAACTTCATAATCTGTTGTGCTTAAATGGATACCCAAACATTAATTCAGTCATTTAAGCTAAAATTAATTTTATAAGTGAAATTTTTAAAAAATTATTCATAATCAGAGTATTAAAATTAATTATATCAGTTCGACAACCTTACTTTATATTCAGCAAATGATGATCCGTTATAACAATGATCCGCGATGTGATTATAACTATGTTTTGTGTGTGAGAGGACGTTTCGTATTCTCATTGTTTATAAGTTTTAATATTAAATAGCATACCAACATAAAATTCGATACAAAATTACAACTAGTAACAGCAATGAACCGAATTAATTACCAACTTATTAAAAAAATTTATTTTATTTTATTTATTTATTGTCTTACTTAGTAACGATTGTCCTTTAAGGCTAATTTTTGAAAACTGTATGCGCCTACATCATTATAATGAATTAATTTGACTCTGAAAATGTTATCGACACACTGAAAAGGACTAAATTTTATAGTCAAAACGTCTGTAATTGGTGGTTGATATATATATATATATAATATTTGATTACACACTTACACAACAGTATTGGCTCTCATTGGCATTATAAACCTTTATTGATTTAATCATTGAAGCCTTATTCAATTTTTATTTGATATAGTAGAATGTTGTATTAAGCGTCAAATATATTATTACAAAAGAAAACATAAAATTTATTATATTCGTACACCTGTGTTATACAAATTGGTGGAAATTCCTTTTTTTTAGTTGTTGGTTTGTTGCCATTGGCGAGGGATTGATGCTTCAGAGACTTAGCAATTCTTGTAATCTTTGCAAAAGCAAATTCCAGCTAGGGCGTCAAAGGCGGTCCTAACGCCTCGTGAAAGAGACAGAGAGAGAGAGAGAGAGAGAGAGAGAGAGAGAGAGAGAGAGATAGATATCTTTATTATCTTCAATAGCTACAATGTGTGATACAATATAATATAATGCCTATTTATTAATTATCCAAACCATCAGACTTAAATATCCCATATATCTACATTACACTATCCCTCTCCACTTCTCATACATAACACTAGTGCTCTCTTAAAGTTTTTAAATCTTTTTTCCTTACTTATTTCATTAGGTTGTATATTTTAAACCCATCATATAACAACATTCTCTGTTCCTCTCTAGTTTTACATCTTTTAATATGTATTTTTCCTTCTGATCTTGTTTGTACTTCTTCCTTCTTTCTTACTTACTCTATCTTATTTTTTAATAACCCCGACAAAAATCTCCATTTATCATTTTATGTATCAAAATATAAATATTGTATTTAATTCTTTCCTTAAATTGCAATGCCTCAAGCATGTCTCTAATTCTTGTTCTGTAATTGCGTAATATAATTCTCATTCCCTTATTTGTAATTTTTGTAAATACTACACATTATAATCGTTTAAACTCATAAGGGAAGTTTTACAACTGTCCAGAATTGATTTGATTCTCCATAAAATATGTTGTAAAACACGAAAATCTAAGAGATAATTTTTTATACGTGCGCTAATTTATGTTTAAGGGGTGAAACAGCTTTTTGGAAAAAAAGGGTTGGTATTTTTCTTTCAAGCCGAGTATCATCGAAAGTATAAATGATAGAAAAACATTTTTTAAACAAAAGTTGTACGGTTTCAAGAGTACTTTAAAGTTATAAAGAAAAGAATATTTATTTATTTTTTTGTTTAACAAAATACTCCCATCACTTGTAATTTTCTTTAAATTTTGTTTTACCAAATTAAAGATATTTTTTTACAAATTCAACCATGTGTAATAAAGTTACGTTACGACATATCGAAAATTAATTATTAACCCTTCCATATATACGCTATCCATGCTCATATGCGTAAGTAATTGTCATCGGAACGATAAAATACATACATCAACAATTAAGGAAATTTACATGATTGATATTTGTAACATTACAAATTACAAATAATGTTAAGAGTTGTAATAATTTTTATTATTTCTCCTTGTGAAGTGAGTAAAACTTTTTTATTCATCTCTGTACATTTATTTTCTTATATTGTAATATCTTAAGATTTTTTTCTTAAAGTTATTTTCAGTTTTACGCTTTAATATCTTATTTACTTGTCGTTCACGTAATAATTTGAAAACGTATATATTATACTTAATAATGAAATAATTTCTAAATGTTTATACACAATAAATTTATATTTTGTATCCTTTACTCATTATACTCATTATAATAATGATACTCGATGAAAAAATATTTTAAACATAATGACTTTTTGCATCATGAACATTTTCAGCTATATTACTGTAACCTTCGATATCACATGTTGTTAAACTTTTGTCAAAACTAAAGTCTATTGGATTTTTAAATTCTTCTGGTCTTTCATGTATAATCACTTTTAAACCACGAATATTTAAATAAGTTGTGATATCGCGGGGATGACAATTGATTATGTATCAGAGATTGTAATTTTATTATTTCGTCCAAATATGTAAATTTATATTACTTTCTAATAATAAAACAATATCTAAAAATCTTTTAGACAAATTTTTCCAAATTCTAAATCTGTAAACATCTAATGGTTGTATTTTTCCTTTCGATAATGCCTTTCGGTATAATCATAGTAGTAAAAATTTTTTGCAGGTTAAAGCTGAAATAATATTGGGACAATGTCCAATCCATGAATCGATAAGAAGAACGCTATTAGAACCAATATTTGGAAAATAAGCTTGTTCTAATTACATTTTAAAATGGTCTGTAAGAAATATAAATGTTAAATTAATAACTATTTTATAACTATTATGAGATTTTTAAATAAAATATAAAATAAAGGGTGTCCCAAAATTAACGCAAGATTTGAATTAAATAGAAAACACAGTTTTTAGTCTTTTGATTGTTATTTTTTTACTGAATCATAAAGTACATAGGATAGGGTTATTTGTGGAATAACACATCGGGCAAATGGCCTCCACGGCTTTGCATGCACATATGCACTCGTTTGTCGAAATTTTCCATGACCATTTTGCATAAATGTGGCTGAATTTCGTTGATGCAGCGTTGAATCTCCTCCTTTAATGCACGGGTGGTTGTGGGCTTGTTGACATAGACCTGTGATTTCAAATAACTCCATAAAAAGAAATCTAATGATGTTAAATCACAC